TGTTAGTAGTACTAGTTTTTTAGAAGCTACTTCTAATATACTTAGTGAAAATGAAGAATTTAGTGATACCAATGAAATAAATGAATTAAATCAATTTATTAATAAAAAATGCAAACATACTAGTGGTAAAATCAAGGCGATATTTGGAATTGTGTTAATAAAGATGCTAGTTTAGAGCACGGACATTATAAGGCTAGTTGTAAGTGATGCAGTATTACATGAGATAGAGGTCGACCAAATGATATATGTTTACATCTTGCTCAGCAATGCTTAAATGTTCCTGATGATATTAGATATTTTTGGAGAGATTTTATTATTGAAGAAAAAGAATCTACACAAAAATCCAAAAATAATCAATCTGAAATTACAACTCATTTTTAAAAAATTGATCCAATTCCTGAATCATAAGCACAATCCTTAAATCAAGCTATTTTAAAAGCTTGGGTAATGAGTAATTTTGCATTCGAAACTATAGAAAATTCTTATATAATTGAATTATTTCAACTTGCAATTTCTGGATATAAACTTCCATCACGAGATAAACTTTCTGGTCATTTATTAGATCAAGAAGTTTTAAGAATTGATCAACGAATTGATAATAAATTGGAAAAAGAAGAAAATCTTACTTTAAGTATGTAATTAATTTTTTTTAAAAATTATTTCGATATATAAAAATTAATATTTAATAAATTTTTAATATATATCATATATAGCTATAGATGGGTGGATGTCACCGACTCATGATTCAATTTACAATTTTATTATTACTACTCCTAAACGCAAAGAATATCTTATTAAATTAAAAGAATACAACAAAGTTAATCAAACGAGTGAATTTATGTCTAATAAAATTTTACAGTTTATTGAAAAGCTTGGTATTGAAAAATTTGCTGCAGTCGTAACAGACTCTGGTGCAAATCTTCGTGTAACTCGTCAAATTGTTCATGAAACCTATTCTTCAATATTAAGTCTTAGATGCGCTGCTCATGCAACAAATTTACTTGCATCTGACTTTAGTAAACTTGATTCTATTAAAGATATTATTACAAAATGTAGGTCAATTTTAAATTTTTTTCATAATTCTCATATTGCACATAGATACTATTCAGAACAACTTTGTGCTATGAGAATTAAAGGTAGAGAAATTAAACCATATATTAAAACCCATTGGGAAACACTTTTTACTACAGTAGATTCAATTGTTCGATCCAAGCCAGTTTTTGATTGGGTAACTATATTAATTATATATTATTAATATATATTTATATGTATATAATTAATATACATATCATTATTTTATTATAGATTTTAGAAAATTATGCATCAGCAATATCTAATATTATGGTATTTAATCTTATTCAAGATGAAGATTTTTATATCAAGTGTTATCAAATTTCTGCTATTTTAAAACTTGTAAAAGAGTTAACAAATTGTTTGGAAGCTAAAACGGCAAATTTAGCAGATGTTTTTATTGGTTTAATTAAATAAGCAGTGAGTATTAATCGAGTTGAAAACTCTAATATATGGAAAAAAGAAATTATTATCAATTTTAATCAATGATTTTATGAACTTGTAAATCCAGTTTCTATTCTTGCATATTGGTTGCATCCTTTGTATAAAGGTAAGATAATCTATTATATATACATATAAATGTATGGGAGTAAAAATCTGTAACTATATTTAATAATTTATTAAGATAAGTTACAAGTTTTTACTTTTATACTATTAATGCAAACCAAACCTGATAGTTGTAAAATCTTAAAGGTTTTACTAGTTTCAACAATTGTGCGTTAACTATGCTATAACCCAACTTATGCATTACAGACTAAAGCATAAATCATAAAATAAAAATTAAGTATTGTCTAGTGATGTAGAGGAATTATTTTCACAATTGTAAAAATAATTCCTTTGCACTGTTATCTGCATCATATTTGTTTCATAGAGATAATTAGCCCTTAACGTTAAGGTTTAGAACATGCAATCAGAAAGGGACACTAATTTAGGTTTTGAATCGGGTTTGGAATCATGACAATAGTTGACCCTCAAACTTAAATTAGGTAATAATATCCTATACGGGTTTGGTTTGCATTGATATCTTATACACTATATAATATATTTAATAATATATATATATTTTTAATTAATCATACATATATATTGTTTAGATCATGGTTTAAAAAAAGCTGCATTAGATAAAATCTATGAGACTGCAGCATTAATTTGGAGCAATCTACACTATTCAGAAGCATCATGTCAGCAATTATTAACAGAAATGCAAACTTGGAAAAGAAAAGCTGAACCTTACAACCTTTCATACAATTCTGCTTATGAAACCCCAATTAAATGGTGGCTTAGTATAAATGTTGATGAAGATCAAGATCAACTTTTACAATTAGCACTACATTTATTTTCTATTGTTCCTTCACAATCCGCTTGTGAAAGAAATTTTTCCACACTTAAATGGTTTTATGGTAACAAATGAACCTGACTTTGTCTTTCTCAGATAAAAGATATGGCAAAAATATGTTTTTATTATCTTTCAAATTCTAATAAAGAACTCCAACTTTATGGAAAAGATTTAGGGGAGAAAGAGTTATATGAAAGTATTAATACATCGATGGTTGTATATGATTTATTTGAAACATCTGATGAAAATATTGATATTAATGATTTTGATAGTATTGACATGAATTCAGAAATCTTTCATTCAATATTAAATATTGCAGATGTGATGAATTTAACATTGCCAGAATTCTCAGGAACCAGGAATGCAGTATTCTCTTCAGAACCTGTTTTGTCTAATCAATTTAGAGATATAGGTAATATGAATTATGATCCTATTTAGTTAGCATATCAAATGATATTAGAGAATAGTACTGAGGATTAAAAATTTATTTGATAAGCAATAAGAATTGTTTTTTTTGTTTGTTTTTTATGTATATAAGGTAAATGTGGGTATTTTGACGAAGTCAACAATTCTTACTAATAAAAGTTCATCAAAAAACAATGTTTTATTTTTTTTTATAACTATGTAAATTTGAATCTGCTTCACAATATATAAAAAAAAAACTCATGTTTTATATAAATTATATAATAATATTAATATAACAATAATTTCTAACTTCCTACAGGTATTTTGACAAATATGATAATCATTAACTGTTAACATTGAACATATTACAATAAAACATGTTTTTTTACTAAGTAAACCAAACTTCAGTTACTAAATAAAATTGTTTGAAATGCCATCTTTTGCTTACTTACAAATTTTGATGCAATATGAATAACCTTTTATTAATAAGTTTTTTGTTATACATTTTGGTACAGTAAATTAATTACTGCGCTGAAACATATAACGAAAAATCTACTAATAAATAGTTATTCGTATTGCACCAAAATTTGTAAGTAAGCAAAAGATGGCATTTCAAACAATTTTATTTAGTAACTGAAGTTTGATTTACTTAGTAAAAAACATATTTTATTGTACATTCATCAAAATACTCACATTTACCTTATATACCAATAAACACAACAGAGTTAAATAATCATCTAGTTTGTTCAATCTTTTTTATAATTTTTTAGTATAGTAAGCAATTTGTAAATATATTTTCTACTCTGTTCTAATTCTTAATAGGTTATATAAAATTTGCCAGGGCAACTACCAAAGAGTATAGATCACATAATCTTAAAAATAATACATAATTATTGGAATTTAAATTCAAGAAAATTTTTTATGATATATACTTAGATTGCTTTATTTGTAGTGATTTAGGAATAATGATAAATTTAAATTTATTTAAACTTGAATAGGCAGCTGGTAATAGATAGTAATGATTGTTTGAAAGAATTAAAACTGTTATATACAATTGAATAGATTCAATTTAAAAGATTAATATCATTTTCAAGAGAACTCTTGGTTTGGAAGAAGTAAGTTGAAAAATCATTATTTATTTGCAATTTATTGATTATTTCACGATTTATTAAATGTTTATTAATCTAATCCATTATATAAATTGTAATGTTTGACAATATGAACTTATACCAGCTAATAGTATATAGATTGATTCAACAAATGTTTGGTGGTATTTTATTTTGATTATTAATGTTTTCATAAGTTCTTTATATTTCTGACTATATATTTGTGCTATCTTTTCACAGTGATCATGTTTTGCAAGATCAATGCATTAGTAAAAATGCAATCTTACATCTCAATTCCGGAATTATCTAAATAATGTTTTAAAGATGGTATTTATGAAGCAGGTTGTTCTAAAGTTTATGAATAGTTGAAAAAGCATAAGTTAATACAACATATATAGCTAGTAAAGTATAAATAGACAGATGAATAGTGTAATCATGGGATTTATTGATTAGCAAAGAAATTTAAATTTTGCTTTTATAATAAAAAGCATAAATAAGTGTCGCAAATAAAAAATCCATGAAAATTCTGGCTTTTCTCTTCGATGAACCTGAATTAAAGTGTCAAGCAAAGCCTAAACTATTTATCATAAAAGCTAAATTAAAGATACCCAAATCAATATATACATCGTATGAAATAAAGCTAAACTCAAATATTTATTGAAACCAAACTAAAATACATATTAACATTGCACTATATTATAGCCTCAGTGTGGTAAACATCCTGCTTACTGATAATTGTCACATCTATTTATTATATCATTTGTTACATTGCATAATAAATTAACATAATAAAGGCTGTGACAATTACCAATGAACAAGACATTTGACTATTTGACAACTCTTGCCTCAATATATATAAAAGAACAGATAAATTCAAAAAATAAGTTTATTATAATCAATTTGAATTTATTTATTTGCAGTTGATTATTGTATTTTACCATCTCACCTATAGATGCCGGTGAAACTAGTGATTATTTAAAATCTGATTGGCTGTTATATTAAATTTCACCAGTTTCACTAATCTTACCATTTCACCAATTCACCAATCTCACTATTTTACCATATTATCATTTCACCAATTCACCATTTCACCAATTCACCAATTCATCAACTCATCAACTCACCAACTCACTAATTTCACTAATTCACCAATTTCACCAATTTCACCAATTACACGAATTACAACAATTCACTAATTACACCAGTTATACCAATACCAATTGGTGATTAGTGAATTGGAGAAATGATTTCACTACTCTAGTTTAATTTCACCACCATCTTTATTCTAGACTTCAATTAACTGAATTATTTAATATAATTGATATTGAAGCAATTAAAAATCAAGTTCATATAATTCCTCGCTTTGATAAAACTAATAATTATTTAGTAAATAAATATATTTTTTAATAATATTTATATATTTATATTTTTAAAAAATTTCTAAGATTTTATGTTTTTATTATATTTTTAAAATTTTCTAAAATTTTCATGTTTTTATATAGAAATTTTAATATTAAGATTAATATATAAGATTAATTAAGTTTAATTATTATTTAAAATATATTATAAATAGTTTATATAAAAATAAAGTAAATAATAAAATATTAATTATAAAAATAAATTTTATAAATTGTAAAATTATTAGAAATATTTAAAAATATTTAAAATAAAACAAAATTTAAAAAACAAAAGTAAGTAAAATTTAGCAAAGCTATTTAAAATATTTTAAAAATAGTTAATAATGCATTACCAAATTTTTAAACTGAAATAATTTGTAATATTTCATATTAAATGCAATTATTTCAAAATATTTTGAAAGAATTTAAAAAACTGCACTGATCTCCGAATTTTATTAAGAAACTTTACAATATTGCACTAATTAAAGATGATCAGCAGGTTATCTTGATCATAATGGTAGTTAAATCATCAAATTTGGATAATTATTTGCTAAGATATCTATGAAGCAATTCTTTTAAAATATTCACAATATTTCGAAATAATTACGAAATATTTACAATATTTTGAATGAATTGCATTATAGCCAACTTAGCGAATTCTTATCCAAATTTGATGATTTAACTACCATTATAATTGAGATAACCTGCTGATCATCTTTAATTAGCACAATATTGCAAAGTTTCTTAATAAAATTCGGAGATCAGTGCAGTTTTTTAAATTTATTCGAAATATTTCGAAATAATTGTATTGATGTGAAATATTACAAATTATTTTAGTTTAAAAATTTGCTGATGATATAAAAATTCTTAGATATATATTTAATGAATAAATTCTAAAATATTTGATATACTTTGAAATACTTTAA